AGCCAAAAAACCGAGAAAAATCATAGTATATAGCGACAGTATTTAGGGATAACAATTTTAAGAGCCGAGGTATGGCTGATATAGGCATTAATTAATATCTGTCTTTTCACTAAATGCTCCGGCAAGAAACACGAATTTGTTAGCTAGCATTCTCTTCAACTACGACAGCGCGTTTAGTGTGCGGCAAGTCGATTAGTTTTTCTATCCGAGACATTTTTGTACATATATTGAAACATATTTCAAGTATCTCTCTTTATCAATAGTAGTTATTAACGGAAGAAATCCGTTAAAAATCTGAACACAAAATATAGAGTATCCCTTCCATGATCATTTGCCTACAAGATGATATCAGTCGAGATGATTTGCGAACATCAATTACTATTGATACTATCGCTCGATAACCATATTCATTGTTATATTGTTCTGTACTATGCGATGTCTACGGTTTGACTGAAATCTTGAAGAAATACAGTCCGGCTTAATGAAACTCATGTTATGAATCGAGAATGTTATAGTACATTTCCAATTTTTACTTTCCTTCTCTCAAGCCAAACTTTGCAATAACGTTATATATAATTTGAAACCGGTATAATTTCGATGAGTACAATTTTCCATAAGAAAAAATTTGAAGAAAATTACCATTTTATGTATATTCACGAATATAAATAATTTAAGTCTAAATGTTTAATTATACCGGTTTCTGTTCTTCCTTCTCATTCTATCGTTAAAATAATATTAGATATTAAATTACGCAATTATTTTGAATTTTTCTTCAACTAGTGTCACGTTTAGCAATTATCAGTTGTTAGAGAAGGAACGATATACACACACATATATACATACATACATACATATATATATATGTATATATATATATATATATATATCCTAAATGATGTCGATAGCACGATGATCTTTTTACAATCGTCATCGATGTTTTTCTCAATTGATTTTGCAATTAATAAATTACTAGACATTTGATTACAGATTGTTTTAGTTTGTCTTCAACTCGAATCGTGTTTAGCAATTGTTGATTAAAGAGGAACCAGTATATATGTACATTTAGTATGTACACACATTTAAGTCAATTCAGCAATAAAGTAATTTGTTCTTGTTGCCGAATTACTTTAACAGTATGATGGTCTTCTTTCAATAAACATCTGTACTTTTTCAAGTTAATGTTCTAGATATCGGACTCTGTCTAGAACCGCCTAGACATAATTAAATATGGTTACAGTCGAATATCTGTATAATCAACTCCGGTACACTGTTAACTAAATATTCTTTAAAGATAATTTTTTTTCACATAATTTTTTCACTGTTCATAATTTGCTGTAATCATTTGATGTAATCATTACAATGAAAAAACAGATAAGAACATACATTTTTATTCAATATATAGAGTGTCTGGTAATTACCCTGGGTGGCATCCCTCATGGATAGGTAAAGTCATCCTATGACTTGTACAACAATGAGTACAAACATCCTTTTACAAGGTTCTCAATAATTAATTACTTGAAATTGAGTAATTAATAATATGAGTAATTAATTAAAAAATTAATTACTCGCAAATCAGTGTGCAATTCGGCAAGAAACAGTCGAAGACAATATCACGCAATAATTGCGGGTGCAACAAGATATGAGAAGAAACGTTTACAATCTACAAACAATAAATAATACAACACTGTGATCTTTTGTCACGCGCGGATGTACTCATTCGCAAATTTCTTTATTAATGTCTCATTATTGAGCAATTACTTGAAAAATGTTAAGACTTTTATTCAGTTTAATTCTTCCTATTTGCCCGCGAAAGATGGCACATTAATTACCAGACATTCTGTATACTATTGAAAAATCCGACAGAAGGAAAAATACATAAAATGCTTTTCTTTTAATCTTAACGAGTTCACAGGCATTCGACTGTATTTTAACTCAATTAGGGTCATGTATTTAACCGTTATCAGTTAATTAACACATTGACTGCCACGTCATTTATATATAAATGACATTCAATTTCATAAATAAGTTCTAGGAAACCAAATATATTTTCTTTATCTCACTTTCTTTGTCATAGAATATCATTGCACAACAGAGCTTATGAAAATTTGCCGTCGTATTTTAATAATAGAAACAAGAGTGTCATTTGCATATAAATGATGCATATAATATATAATATAGCAGTCATTGTGTTAAAGAATTTTATTTTTTATATATACATAGGGTATAATTAAGCATTCGCTGTCAAATTGCATCGTTCTAATCTACAAAAAACAACATAGCATCCTTCAACTAGCATTCACAATCACTTCAAGTCGATATTTTCGTCGAGCTTCGATTCCGCAGTGTCTTAAAATATAAAATGATGACGCAAACGACATCACTATAGACGCATTAGATTATACATCCTCTTAGTTTACCTTTAATTAGACGCATTCAGCGGTATTTAAAGTTAAAGAGAAACAAGTTCGTACACGTATATGTATATACATTAAATTCGATTCGAAAACAACGAAGCGGAATTAAGACTCCTAGTAACAATATCGATTTATGTCAGAAATAAAGAATAGCATAAATTTCTTTTCGCATGCACATTGAATTAGTTTTTCGCATGTGACAATTTGCAGTTGACAGAATAAATTCGAAACAGTTCTGAACTTTCTCCTCTGTAAATAAATTAATATTATATGATTTATACATGTCCCATATATGGATTTTGTGACAGATCTAGTTTCACAGGTATTTCTCGAGAATTTTCGGCATGTTTCCTAAATTTATTCTAGCAAATACATATTATAACATATGAAAAACATAATCTATCTTAACGTGTAAAATCTTTTGATACTATACAGAGGCTCCAAACTCTCTTTGGAAAGAGAAAATGAATTTCAACGCCGCTTGATTCCACCCTTCGAAAAGCGAACTAAAATAGTTCATTTAATGAGAAACAGGATGTGACGTATATTGGAATCTACGGATGTAATAAAAAAAATTTTTCAGAAACGTCTTTATGAATCTGAAATGTTATTATAGTTTCGCAAACTAGACAATATTCTACTTTTTTTTTAAATTCGTCTATTTATATACCTGTTATGTAAGAATACCAATTTTTTCTTTAAATACATAAAGAATAGATTCAAAATAAATCTTGAAATAGAAGAAACTTGACTATCTAATTTACAGAAGTTGGTCAACCAGCCACTATTGGCAATAAAAAAGCCAGTAAGTGGTAAAGAAATAAGTTGACGGCGCTCTGTCCTCTAAAAATTACGAATTCATCAAACTTCCGTTTTTGTCAAGATAAAGAGAGTTAGGATCCCCTGGTCCTACCTACGGAGGTACCTACGGAGATGAATTTTAATAAGAGCCTTAATTCCACTGAATCGCGTCGCAGTACTACACTACTTCTCGCTAGAGAGAAGATGAAAACCTTATATCTATTTACTCCGCAATGCGGTATATCGCATTTACAACGTGGACATCCTCGTCAGAAGATGGTTACTTCGTCATGCCATCGTAACAACGTCATAACCCAACTCTTTAATAACGTTAAAAAGGAAAAGAAAAATAGAAGATAGAATAAAGCGGTTCAAGCCATGTTCGATTGGCTGGGGTCAGTGTTTTGCGTGTTGGTAGCGGTGGTGTTAGTGGTGGTGTTGGGATTATTGGCGCTATTATCACTAGAATTACCGCTAGCACTGGCAGCGGCGCCCGTAGCGTCCGATTGGCCGCCACCTCCGCCTCCGCCGCCCCCGCCGGGATTCCCCTCTGTACCGGTGGTGGCGGCGGCCGATTGCATGTATTTGGGTATCAGCATGCTGTTGAGGATCGGCTGGATTCGCAGCTCATGCTCGGTGAAATTGAAAAGCGGCGGTAATTCACGGCCGCTTGGTAACCGCGTGCCTTGTTCACGTAATTCATTGAAGAATGAATGCGCACATGCTTGCAACGGTGTCATGCGCAACGACGGTGTATACTCCAAGAGCCGTGCCACTAGATCCATCGCTTCCGGCGGTGTGCGCGCCCTAAACACCTGCAATTATCATCAAGCTCATGACAAAAAGTTATATTCTCAGCTCTTTCTCTTTCATTGCTAAATGTACTGATAAATATTCCCTGGATAATATGAAAAATTACTGTATTTTTATTATACATATTCGTTGGAATTTTTGAAGATAAAAATGTCAGTCTTTATTTAAAGAACTGACAGAGTGAAAATCCTGACCTTCATTTGTAGCACACTTATTTGTAATAATGGTGCTTAATAAATGTAAGAGACTTTGCAAGTTTAATTAATTCTAGTAGCATTATATGATTAATTTAATTGATAAGATCAACATATATCGAGTTTTTTTGAGAAATAGAGACATATCAATAATACTTCTAATATTTCTTTGATCTCTTAAAGTACAAAAGATATAAAAATAGTATGTAAAAAGTAGATGTCTTAATAAATAAAATTATAAGTAAAATAAGAAAGTTTATCAGCAGTGGTCAATTGAGTGTGTGGTATACTATAGACTTACATAAATAGACTACATTCTTACGCAACGACAACGTTGAAGGACAGATATATAAAATTAGATATTTCTTCCATAATGCATATTATACTGTGTTATACATTTGTATTTCTAAGATAGGAATATTGTAAATATGTAAGAATGAGACTAACTTCCATTATGCTACTAAAATTTATTTGCTTCTTCACCGCTGATCAACCAGCTGTACCAGAAGAGCAATACAAATACGGATCAAATTTTTTATTTTTATTTTAATAATTTTGTTTTCAAAACATTTGTGCAATCTTCAACAATTCTACAACGCATGCGCGTTGTAGAATTGTTGAAGATTGCACAAATTGATAGCAAGAAGTTAGTGACATGTAAATTGCCAGTTTTAATTTTCAGTTTTAAATCTCAGTAGGTGTCGTAAATTTTGTAGCTATCGTAATTTTTTACACTACAAAACCCCCTTTAAAAAAATTAGACATTGATTCTAAGCACTACTCTCTGCATGATAGACATAAAAAATGATATGTTATTGAAAAATTTATAATGGGATGATTTTAGTTATGTCACTTTGTATAAAAAATTTCAGTTCTTACATTTCATTTTATGGCGTCCAACCCTAGGACTATACCTGGGTTCGTTTGAAACCCGGTAAAAATTTCTATTTGCTAATATTCTTAGAAATTTTTCCTTTAAATATTTAATTTAACAATTTAGTTAACAAACTTGAAATTTAGTTTTATAATCTTATTTCATGATATCTGGTATTTTAATGTAAACACATTTATTGAAAAATATTTTTTATTGAAAAAAATTTGTATCAGAGTTGCGTCAAAAAATAATACATTAATAACGTTTTTCATTAACAGAACTAGTACACGCACACAGTGCGCTTAAAGCTGTTGTACTATTCTAATCTAAATATAAAAGTAAAATATCTTAATTGATAAAATGCCCAATATGTATTTTATCAAATAACACAATAAAATGTATTGAATATTTCACGGTTTAATTCGTTACTATATTTTTATTGAACGTACATCTTTATATCGATTTGTGTACAACGGCTTTGAAGTACACTGAATGCGCATTAGTTTTGTCAAAAAATGCTATAAGTTTAATAAATCCAGTAACACATATACAAAAATATATCATGTGTAGTCCTAGGGTTAAGAAACTTGGATGATACCTGCTGAGAACTAAAAGTAAGATAATACTTTGTATCGACAATGAATAAAGATAACATTGATATTGGTCATTAATATTAACACTGAAAATTTATCGATCTAAAATTTTCCATTATAAAACATATTTTATACTCATCCGTAATTTGCACAATTTAGAGCGATATATCCCCATAAGAGTACAGATATCCAATAAAAACAGAGAAAAATGTATATAGTCTGGAAATATACACATGTGCTTATACATATGCAACTCCTTATATATTTTGTCTTTTGTATATATATTTGTGTTTGTGTGTGTGTGTGTGTGTGTGTATGTGTATGTGTGTGTATACATACCATGTCAATACAATAATGAATTAAATACGAATATGTATATTTAAAATAAACACGGACTTCAAGCTCTAAGTCTCTGCGCAACAGACACAAAAGACCACAATATGTTACTCATTCTTTCTAGTTTGACAAATGCAAGTCTCAAATACCACCAGAATATCAGAGTAAGTGATACTCTCAATTATTTTAAGTCGCCATAATAAATGTAAAATGTAAGAAGTCGAATATAAAAAATTATTAGTGTCGTTAATAGATGAAACTAGGCAATGAGGAGTTACATGAAAAAGATATAACTGATTGTAAAGGAAATCTTGAAGCCTATTCTTTTCTTTATTTTCCTTTTCTTTTAAGTAATGACTAAAGACTGGGAATAACTCTGCACGCACGTTCGGATATCGAAGTTTAGATGTTATTTTGAATGTTAGTACAACGGGCCAAGATAGAGAAAGTTTGTGCTAGCCATATTGAACAATATTTGTTGCAAGTCGAATCACTTACTCTAATCTTCTGGTGCTCCATGGAACACATAGATGTTTCACTCATTCGTTGAAGCATATACTGCAAATCATGAGACATGTATTGATGAATGGCAACTGATCGAGGCGCTATTGTTATTGCCATCGATCCTATTTTAAATAAAAAAAAAAATCTCTTCCTACAAAAAAGCATGTAAAACCTCATAAAACGTACATCAATTTCGATTCTACCTTCTCCTTTAATTTCCAAAGTTAACTGGAAAGCTTATTTTTTATTTTGTTATTATCCTGTCTAAAAAATCTATATTTATTTACATTTCTGTTTTAAAATATTTTATATATTTTATATGTTCAAAGATAAAGAGATATTCTATATTATTTGTTTTATTAAAATTATGAATTTAAAACAAAAATGAGCTTTTCAATTACTTATATAACGAATCACAAAGTTAATAGACATATGTGTGAAACAAAATGAAACAATCACATGATGAAGAAATATATGAAATATCCCGCTGGATACACAGGTATAAATACGTATTAATAACAATTTGTGTAAAGTTATAAGAATTATAAAATAATAGACTCTACCTTTTGCCAGGGATGTGATTTAATTTGTGGAAATTTGAACTCAGTGTAGTTGGGGTTCATCTCACGTATCTGATCGCGCGTAGGCGTACCGAGGACTTTGATAATCTCTACCAGTTGATCGACACCGCTATCACCGGGAAATATTGGTTGACCTAGCAGTAGTTCTGCTAGCACACAACCTGCACTCCAAACATCTGTCGAGGAAATGAGAAAAATGTTACATTAAAAGAAACGTTACATATTTTACAATAAAATAAAATATAATAAAATATAATGAAAACGAATTAATGTATTTTTATTAAATTTTGCTATCAACATTTATCGACGATTTTTTTTAAATATTAAAATATTTAAATATCTATCAGGGTTGGATAATTTTTATGAACACATATTTAAATTCCAAATTAGAAGTCAAAAAGAAACAAATAGTACTGTCAGTGATAAACTCCTTTCAAACTTATAACTGTTGCCAACAATGTAGATTAATTAAGAATTTTCTAGTTCTATTAGAAAAAGATAAGAAGTTGAACCAAAATTAAAATTAATTTACTAACATTTATAGGAATAGACATAAATATGCTATGTTAAACAAAGATCGTTATTAAGATTTTTAGCATACCAATTTTTGTAGTGTAGTCAATAGCACCAAAGATGAGTTCAGGTGCGCGATAGTAGCGACTGCAGATATAAGACACATTTGGTTCGCCCTTCACAAGGTGTTTAGCTGAACCAAAATCGCATAGCTTCAAGACACCAGTATCCGGATCTAGCAGCAAATTCTGTGGTTTAATATCCCTGTGACAAATACCCAGCGAATGGATGTACGCCAACGAACGGAACAGTTGATACATATACAACTGCAAAGAACAAAGAAAAGATTATTATCTATATATCTGAAAATTTATTATCTATATAGCTGATTAAATTTACAAAATACATTTTTTTATTATATTTTTATAAAAATCTTTATAAATTTTTTTTCAAATTCTTTCTAAAGTTATTTCTAAGTTTTTGAAACTAACTGATTACAAATCTGAGATCAGAATAATAAAAAAGTTAAAATGACGGATTTTTGACACCTACAAATCTCGTAAATTAAAATCTCAGATTCATAATTCGTGATCTCAAAAATTCTTAGATCTTGAATATTGCATGAAAAGAATGTTTCCTTTTTATGCAATCAGAACTATATATTATAACATGAGATCATCTTCTAAAAATTAATTGTAAATTAAAAAACAGTATTAAATAGATTTACAAACATAATTTCTGTTTTTGTTATAAATAAATATAAATAATAATAAATATAAATTCAGAAATAACTAAAAATTATAAAACTAATAAAAAATAACTCACCTTGATGAAACTGATTGGTATCGTCTGCTTGCTTTTGCTATAATGTCGAGCGACTTTGTACACAGTTTCGGGTATGTATTCCAGGACTAGATTAAGATAAACCTCGTCCTTCTAAAAAAAAAAGAAAGAAGAAATAAGAAAATTAAATTGCATGTAACCTTCATTCAACAAGCGAGGATCTGTTTACAAATATTTGTCGTCTCAAAGGCACACTACTCCAAAACCCAAACATTGACGACGTATTCGAATGTAGAGTGTCCCGCAATTCGCGCGTGACTGGAACTTCAACAATAAATTCTCTCTAATTAATCTAACAGCAATTTTTTAATAATTTGGAACTATTTCCACAATCTTTGATCATCTATTCTTTTATCTTCTAGTTCAACGTTGCACGTTTATTTTTGTAAATAGATCTGTTAATCAATAATTAAAAAATTATTAGATTATAATTATGTTATTTATATAATATATAGAAGTATAATTATTTTATTTATTTATTCACTCTCTATACACGAAAACTTTCTTCTTTTCATGTTATTAGGGTCCTGGCATTTATAATAAAATACACTAAAGTTCCACCAGGATCTGTGATTAAAATTGTAAAATAATTATAGCAAATTGTGGGATACTCCGTGGGATCATTTAAGTTATACATTTCATCTTTATTATTTCTCTTGGACACACACATCGATGCCCTGGTGTTATTAACATTTATCACACACGTCTCCAGAAATATTACGTACTAACAAGACTAGCGAAGCAGCGTAATCTAATCGGACCCAGATCGACATTAAAATAATGACGTTTCGAAGGAATGATACGATTGTGAAGATGTTCCTATGTGGAAGCGATAATTCGCCTAGAGATTTTTTCTCGCCAAAAGGAAGATTCTCGTACAAACTACTACTGGGTGCACTTCAACTTACGTCAACGTGAAAAACCGGATTAGTCGCGGTTAAGATGTTCTATAAAATAACATAACAATGTGGCATGCATTAAATGAACATCTTTCGTTTTATTATAGAAACGTGTCATTTACGTAACAATCCGATAATGATAAAATTGATAATTGCGTGCTAATCAATAGAAGCTGTATCGTCATTTGAATTACGTACTGCGTATCATTTTTTCAAATTTTAATAGATTGATGTAATTATTGAAATATCTCTTAAATAATAGATAGCGAACTCATCTTCACATAAAATTTAAGGAAGATGGAGATGAGATAGTTACCTTATCACCACTAGAATAAAAGAAATATTTGAGTTTCACAATGTTGCAATGTTCGAGGCGTCGCATAATTTGTAATTCCCTGTTCTGGAAAAAATATAAAGTTTTATTACAACTCATTAGTATACTCATCGTTCATTAAATAAATGAAATAAATAAGAAAATAAGATATAAATTAAAATAAAAAGTATAAAACAAAAATAAGATAAAATACTTAATAAAATCATAAATATATAATAAAAATAATAATAAAAAAAGATAAAATGAAATCAAATCAAATTAAATAAAACACAACGGAAACAAAAACATAGTATAATTATGTAATAGTAAGTTTCTTCAATATATTATTTAGCAATTATTAACTTATGATAGCTGTTATTATGTTCTATATACATTTTTATTTTATTATTTATACTTCATTATTTATGTCAATGACATAATGTATAAATGTTCACCTTAAATCGTTTATCCTGAAGAACCTTCTTGATAGCAACCATTTCTCCCGAGTCGCAGAGTTTCGCTTGGTATACCACACCAAAGCTGCCGTTGCCTATGACCTTGGTATCGGTGTACGCGACTTCCTGAGGACGATCCGGACCAGCACCAGGAGTCGCTACTACAGTCGTTACCTTGCTGCCATCCTTGCCTGCAGGGTACATTGCACCACCCATAGAAACAAATTTGAAAAAACCACAGTGCAGGAAAAGAAATAGAAACAAAAGTAGGAAACCGAACTTCCTCTAAAAGCAGAAAACGCCCAGAACCCTCTAGAATCGAAGAAAGCTTCTATTTCGCTTCTATTTATGCTCCTATTTCGCATAAATCTAAATAAGCAAAATTGTCTTCACATCAACAATAATTGTCTTAAAACATTTATAACAAAATGCAACATATTGCTTTGCAAAATGTAATTTATTAATATAAAGAACACAAAATACGTATATTATATCAACATCAACTATTTTTATATTATTATTTTGTGAAATGTTTCTCTCTCTTTTTCAATTTTCTCTCTGAGAACTTTATATTTTGCAAAAATGTAAAAAGAGATTACGCACACATATATCGTTACAAGTCACAAGTCTGGAAAGCGTTCTATATAAATTACACCTCAGATCCACAATCGTCGCTATTTTAACATGTAATTCTTGGAAATTGGGCGACCAGAAATAACTTAATCCTTGATTTGTTTTTGCTATACTACTAATAGTTTCGAGCCTTGCAACTCGTAAAGTATAATCGCGTGATGTAAACAGATTATTCAAAGAAATTGTCGGAATTTACAATTCACAACTATTCGGCAATTTTATGACCTCCAACATTAATGTCTCGAATAGATTCTTTAATGAGAACTCAGGCAAAGTAGTCTGTTGACAATTCCTTTCATCGTCCAAAAAAATAATAATAAACGTGTATAGGTTTACATAAAATTGAACGAATATGTACGAATACATTGAAAAATATTTTTCGTCATCACATACAACATACACGCACTCACGCACGCACGCACGCACGCACGCACGCACGCACGCACGCACGCACGCACACACACACACACACACACACACACACACACACACACACACACACACACACACACACACACACACACACACACACACAGAGAGAGAGAGAGAGAGAGAGAGAGAGAGAGAGAGAGAGAGGGAGGGAGAGAGAGAGAATTATCAGAATTATTAGAATATGTGTAAAATAGCCTTGAGTTTGAACAAACGATGTAAATGATTGCAAACAACTGGTTCTGCTACCGTTGCAATGTAAACTCTCTCAAAAGAGCAAATACTCTCTCTCGTGCAAATACATATTTTCATAGTAAAATTTTTACTATTAACAATTATCCTAGCTATTAAAAGTATCCATATTTTTCAATTGCGTCATACTTTTCATAATATCTTTCATCTGTTGTTAAAAAACGGGTACGGGAAGTACGTAGATTATTTTAATAACACATTACAAATGTCATAAGACAATGTTGACTCATAGACGAGATATCTAAAATAGCTCACACTGCATAGATGTGGCAAAGTGATCGTAATATAATTAATAAATATCATATTAAAAGTGTTTATAGAACTATCGTACTTTAATATTATAAATATTCAAAGATATATTGCCTACTTAATCAATATAATAAAAAAAAGTATAAAACATGATATATAGAAGGGCATATATTTTACTCTTTATAAGGTAAAAAAAAAATGACCAACAGATTTAAGTAACAAAACATAAGAAATTCTTTGTAATAAAAAAATCAAATTATTGAAGGTTAATATCAGGATAATAATTATAATTATATGTTTTAATATAAAAAGTGTGACAATAGATTTACTTAAAACCTAAATCTAATGATTGTATGTACATGATGTAACTTCATCGTCACTTTAACAATAGAAAAAGGTTAAATAAACTTAATTTCTATAAAAATTATATTTGGTATTGATAGAAAGTTAGAACATCTTTGATTGAGAATCTTATTAATTGATAAAATAAAGAATCACCTTCTTTTGAGTTCGAAGGTGAGTATGAGGCTTCCGATTTATGAATGCATCGAACGATCACTTTCCACGTGGATGTTGTCTTATCTTCTGACATATTAGGTTTATTTTTTATTGCAGCACTCTCTGAACTGGTGCACACGGTGAAGTAAGTTGAAGTGAGACAAATGTATATTTATTTCATTTCAACTTATTGCACTATGTGCACCAGTTCAAAGAATACAGCAATAAAAAACAGACCTATTCGTAACATTTTCAACTATTTACTGTCAACTAGAGATTGAAGATTGCGAACATATCATTTGTTTTGTCTATTTCGTGAGATTAATATCAATTAAATTTTGATGTCCAATGCAAAATTTTTTTTGTAGATAATTAATAGTCTATTCCTTATCGATGAACTTTTTGAACTCGTGCAAACTAGCGCAATAAGTTGAAAAGAAGTATAATTTATTTCACATACTTTAATTTAGGTATTGCACCATGTGCATCAGTTAAGAAATTCTTCGGTGTATATATATAGGCTTTATAATAGAAATCACTTATAATTGTGTATGTTTAATTGTAGATATAATAAGTCATGGAATTTATATATCGTTCATTAATTACGGCGAGATGAGACAAACGATTTAATAGCAACTCGTTTCGAAATGTAGGTTACATCGTACGCGAGAGGCACATGATTACCACCGACAACAAATAGGAAAATTTTGTACCTGCCGCCGGTTTATCATGAGAATTGAACAGTGAAGTAAGTTTGAAAGAAATCTTGTCGCGTTTCTACGAAGCGCCGCTACATTGGCAAGATACTGAGTGTGTCTCACCGGCTAAATTAAATCATGATGTGTAGAAGATATCCTAGAAGAATATGTTTAGAAAAACTAAATGGATATAAATAATAATATAAAGATCAAATAATATAGAAAATAACATATATATAATATAATATAATAATTTCAGATAAATCAT